ATATATATATGTAATTAGAGTTACTTATTTATTTATTTATCAGCACAAATACAACATACACACACACACAAACACACACTCATGTATCTCTTATACCATTGTAGATTGTTGCTGGAGAGCAAGTGTTGCTTCTCTGTGGTGTGTTTTCAAAAGATGTATCTCCACTGCCAAAGGTCTTTGTTTGTTTTTCCAGTTCAGATTTGTATCTATTTTTGTTAATAAAAAGGATAGAAATTTAGGATAGCCACAAAACAATTTAAGACTGAATTTAAGCTGACTAAATTTCAAAGAACAAGTTTGGAACTTACTTGTACCAATGAATTCAATGTAAATTAATTTGTACTTAACTTACTGAACAATTCTATGTATGGTTACTCAGACATCATTCCTATTTCAAGGGAAGACTATGGCTACATTTCTTTAAAATATAAGCAATGTAACCTTTTTAATCAGAAAGTATTTGAAATCAAGGAAATGTTAAGATGGGAGCACTGAAAACGACATTATTTTACCTCAAATATAGCATATTATAGACTTGCAATTAATACTGCCTTCCTTCATTGCATTATATTATGGATCCAGACCACTTTATCCTACTCAGCTGGAATAAAAAGTAAAAAATATATATGCAGATTATTAAAACTATTTTATCAATAAAAATGCTCAGTTTGGGATGACAAGCCCCAATTTTTCAGTGCCAAGTTTAGATAGACTGGATACTATAATTTCCCAGGGAAATGTTCCTATTTTCAAAAATAAAACAAAGCTGAAAAAAGGGTATTGTTTTATGTAATTCATTAGTAACTAAAAAAACATCAAAGAAGCTTTTCTACATTAGAACAAAGGCCAATTTAATCAGTATTCCATTCAAAGTGGTAAACTACATGCTTATGAAATGCCCACAAGTTGGACAGAATACCCTCCAGCTTTGGTTTTCCCAAAAATGATCTTGAGAGGCACATTGTCACTGCTACTAGAAGGAAAACAGAGCCAACATAATCAAGATCCATTAATAGCTTTGTCCTCTATCAATTTATCCAACCACTTCTTAAAACAGTAGAAATTGGTGGCCATCATTCCAAGTTATTATAGCAATTTGAATGGATTAATGATGGACTTGGTGTCTCCTTTTGTCTTGATTCATTCTATAAGCAGTTATTATCAAAAAGATAGAAGTCTCTCTTCACTTTCCTCTTACCATATATAATTTTAAATACTGCTATAATGTTCCTTTTTATTTGGGTTCTAAGTTAAAAGCTTCCAAGTATTTTAACTTTTTATGATCCATGAGTAGCTTTGCTCTCTAAATGAATACAGTTCCAATCAAATCAAGTGCCTTTAATGGAATAAGATTGGATTTGGAATTTCCCTTGTCACTATTGCTAAAGACACAATGACAATGGCTAGCCAATGCAACTGTGCAAACCATTCCTACTTACTCTCTTGATTTAAAAAAAAAAGATGTTCACCTTTTAAGGTCTTGCTCTAAACTTTCAACCTGTTTCTTGCTTGAAATGAGCTGTCCTTCTTGAAAGTTAATTTGTGATTCTTTCGTCTGAAGTTCATGAAAAAGTTTCTGCTTGTTTTTCTCTAGGTTATCACAAAGTTCCATCAAATTCTGATTTTCTCTCTTTAAGGTTGCGCCTTCATTTTTTTCCTTATCCACCTTAATAAAAGAATAATAAAGAATCCATGAACATATTACCACAGAATCTGACTTTAAGATCATATTTCATAGTGCTACCAATCTTAGCTGTAACAATGTAGCTATTGGAGACCTGGAGTTGCCTACATCTCTTTGTTGCCAACTAGTAGCTGTCCAGTTTTGGTAGACTTCTATTTATGGAAATGTAATAGTAGGCTTCAGTTTTTTTTTAATAATATGTGATTCACATGGTTACAGAGAATAGATAGCTATCTAATTTTCCTATTTCATGGCATACATAATCAACTTTGGGCACAAAAACAGCCTGCTAAGTCCCCAAGAGCTAAACCAGGTATCAAACAGCTCTATTTCTCTTCTTGCAAATTAAAATAAGAAAAAGAAATATTAACCTAACAGTTTAGAGAAAGAGACACTCCTTCACATCCCTCCATGTACCAAGTTGCCTTTCCCATCACATCAAACCCCTGTATTTCCCCTCCACTAAGATAAAACAATATAGAGACAATCAATAGGATGAAAAATGAACAATGCTGAAACGAAATTTAAACAGGTCTACTATCCTTCCATAATATTCGAGTCTGACTTAGAGTCTTCTCAGGCATTTTGGTTTTAAAAATCAGATGAAAGTAGAAAACTATGTTATGCTTATCTCACCTCCTAGATATTTAGCCACAGTTTGAAGACTCTATAAACCTTTTGCTCTGGCACTTAAGACAGTCAAATGTTGAATTCAATTTGTAATTTTTAATGTATGTGAATTCATTTCCATTACTATGTTCAAGGAAATTGAACAAATAAAGTTTTCATTCGTGTCCCACCCATATGACCTATGAGCCAAGGGTTGCCTTTGACCAGTTTAAACAGTGTGTGTTCATTTTTTTGAACTCCAAGTTAACTTTTAATTGGAGCTACACAAAACACGATAAAAAAGGAACATCCCTTTTAATCTAAAACAGGGCTGTCAAACTCCCCATGGGCTGGATGCGTTCTGCACTGGCCATGTCCCAATATGTCACATAACACCACCGTGACTACATGAGTTTGACACTCCTGATGTAAAAGAAGCATTCCTCTTAATAGAAGATATTTTTTCCCAAACAGAAATATTGGAATACATGGTTGAGGAATTGGAATTATGTTATGTTGTTTCCCTACATGAACACACCAACAGATTGTGGCCTATGAATACTTAATTAAATTTTGCTCTTTTATTTAATCTCCAAGAATAATGGGCAACATTTTGGGCGATTCTGGTTACCATACTTTTTTACTCTCAGGTAACAGCTAGTTATGAAATAAAGACCTGCTAAAAACAACATTAACCTATCTGCTTTTAGTATGCAAACTTTTAATCAACACAAGAGTGATACTAGTATTTTTTTTTCAAAAAGCGATGTGTTATACAGTAATTATACTACCTTCTGCTTCTGTTTTTCCAAAGCTGCCTCCAGAGATTCCAGCTGAAATTGCCTTTGCTGACGTTCCTTTTTAAATTTCTCAACTTGACTTTCAAGGTCATGAATTTTCTGAAGGGCTCTGGTGGAAAGACCCTCTTTCCACTCTTCCACAACCCAGCTCATGTCACCAGATTTCACTCTCCTAATACATAAGAGACATTATAAAATGGACAAATAAATTGTTTTTCAGTGTCTAAAATTATACTTACATGACTAAAATGAGGGATAGATACGTTTCAAATCACACAGGAATTCATGCTTACATAGGAATTAGTCTCACTGAACTAAATGGGGTATCATTTTGAGTAAGATTCATACAAAATCCATTCTGCTACCTATGAGATCAGATAGTCGGGATCATGTAACAGTCAGGATTATTGGAATGTTATTTGCACATAGGCAATAATTTGATTTTATTCCAATTGTTTCTTTTGCTAGAAATAGCTAAGTAAGCATTCTGATTGTTGTCCTATTTCCTTTCCCATCTTCATGGGTCAATTCTTTACATTTCTGCAACTATTTTGCATTAGTTTAAGCAAAGAGTTTTCTTTTGGGGGAATAGTATTCCTAAGAGTTTTGTTAGCCGCTTCCCTGAACTGTTTTAACACTGATTATGCTCTGCTTGCATATTTATAAATAGTAATATTATAAAACATCAACAAACCTCCAGAGACCTTCTAAAAAATCTAACTCGGGGAAGCATTGCACTTCTACAATGCCTCTATACCTGTAGAAGTGGTCTCTATATAGCAATATTTATTTTAATTAAGAACATTTATGTGGCCATCCAAATAAATGCAAACATCACCTTCCAAGTTCATAGAACTCTGTTTCCTTACTGAGGTAATCTTAGGTATGTTTCCCACAACATAATGCAATAATAGAATGACTGAAAGCTTCTTGCCCTTTTTGAAACCTGATTTTATTCAAGATTCTGCCTTGTCAATTATGGATTCTTATAAATCAAGAAAATGCAAGAAGTAGGAATACATTTTATTGAACAGTCAAGTGTGCGTACAAGTTAAATATTAGAGTACAGGGTACATGTTACCCTGTACTCAACACCCAATACATAGTACATGTTACTTCTGTAGTATTTCCGACTATATTTCTTGGCTCCTATAATCCCTTGCCAACTTCCAGTAAGATGTTCTACACTTTTCTAGCCCTTACTTTTAAATCTATCAATAACATTGTCTGCCCTCTTCTAATAAATGTGTTACCTAATTTTCCACGCTAGTTTCCATCCTTATGTCCTGCTGATTGATAGAAATATCTGTGTGAAGTCCCGATGATGTTATTTCTCTTCTTTGAAACTATGCCTTTCATCAAATTAATTTTGGATTGTGTAACATAAGATTACTGCAGAAGCCTGACAACTATCAGGCTTAGGAGAAATTTCCTGATAGTTAGAACAATTAATCAGTGGAACAACTTGCCTCCAGAAATGGTGAATGCTCCAACACTGGAGGTTTTTAAGATGCTGGACAACCATTTGTCTGAAGTGGTGTGGGGTTTCCTGCCTAGGCAGGGGGTTGGACTAGAAGACCTCCAAGGTCCCTTCCCTTCCCTTCTATTCTATCTGCATGTCTCCATGAGTAGCAAGCTATCCCGTGATGATTTGGAGGAAATTTGGTTCTGAAAAAATGGAAACCGTGAAAGAGAAATTCAAAATAGACCTTGCTTTTATTTAGCATGAGGTGGGACAGAAAGAAATTTGGACAGACTAATGTATGATTCCATATTAACATTAATATAGTTCCTGGAGTCCCTGCCCTGACTGTTTCCTGAATTGGCTTTTCTCAAATGACTGACACAAAGGCTGAGCACCAAAGAATTGAGGCCTTTGAACTATGGTGAATCCCTTGGACTGAATGGTGATCAAACCAGTCAGTCCTAGAGGAGATCAACCCTGATTGCTCTTTAGAAGGCTAGATCCTGAAGATGAAACTATAGCAATAGCAGTTAGACTTATATACTGCTTCATAGGGCTTTCAGCCCTCTCTAAGCGGTTTACAGAGTCAGCATATTGCCCCCAACAACAATCCGGGTCCTCATTTTACCCATCTCGGAAGGATGGAAGGCTGAGTCAACCCCAGTGAGATTTGAACAGCCGAACTGCAGTCAGCTGATGTAGCCTGCAGTGCTACATTTAACCACCTTGGCCACCTAATGAGAAGAGCCTAATGCTGGGAAAGATTGAGGGCAAAAGGGGACCACAGAGAATGAGGTGGCTGGATGGAGTCACAGAAGCAGTAGGCGTGAGCTTAAATGGACTCCAGAGGATGGTAGAGGACAGGAGGGCCTGGAGAAACGTTGTCCATGAGGTCGCGATGGGTCGCAACTAACAACAACAACAAAATCATATCTGTGTTCAAACTCGCTACTTTTCGTTTGACACTCACTACAGAGAAAACAGCAACCCTAACTTAAATGCATCTTTTTATGAGAAATATGAGTTCATTCCTCACCTTTCCCACGAAGAATCCAGCAACGCTCCTAATTCTTTTTCACTTTCTTTTCCTCGAGCGCCGCTACGCATTCAAATTTGCCACTTTCTCCCTCGATTGCTCTGAAAGCCGAAGCCATCCGAGAACGATTGGTCAGCAATGGAAAATAATCTTCCCTCCGCGTTTTTCGGTTAAACCAATAGGAATCCTACGAACCGCACCGCCTGGATTGTTTTTCAAATCTCATTGGCTTACGAATTCGAAAAGTGAGAAAGGATTGGCTGAAGGCAAAAGAGGGCTGGGAGCGCGTCTTTGCAACTTTTCCTCTTCAACGAGACTTTTGACTGCGCGCAGCTTGGAAGACTGAGGGAGTTGGTAGCTCCGTCATTCCCCAACTGAATTCTGACCGGATGACTTTTGAGCATGGAGTGACTTGCATAGCAATGAGACAAAATTACTACCGTACTAGTATCGAGGAGCCTGTTTTGGGGAACTTCTAGCTCCCATTCCCATAGTACCCAAAAATAATTATCGGAAATGAAGTGGGAAGCGGGAGACAGAAGGCAAGCTTATTAAAAGCGCCCAAATTTCTCTTTCTTCATTGTAACCTAAGGGACAAGTCAACAACGGGAAGGAAAGAAAAGTTCTCAATAATGTATTTATTTTAAGAGCGGCGATGGAATACAGCATTGCGCAGTCCACAAAAGTATGAGAGCTGATACGCCAAAATCCAGTTGATCACTAGATAATAGAAATTACAGAAAATCCCAACTCGCTGCTCCCATCTGGCGGTGGTCTTCATTTTTTACAATCTAAAATGGAAGTAAATGGATTCCTTCTGGAGATGGTCTGCGCAATCCGCAGGATTTGACAATTTGATGCCATATAATCAGGTAAGGATCAGCATTGTTGACGTTATACTTCCCAATTCTCCCTGGGTAGGTTCATTGAGGTCAGTGCTGGAAAGAGAAAGCGGAAAATGAAGGACTCAGAAAGACAGAGTCAAGCTGCTTAGAATTTTTTAAATTTTATGTAAAATTTTAATTTCCTTTAAGAAATCTAAGAGGGCAATTTTTTCTCCTTATTCACTAACTCCCCTGATTTCCCCCTCACATTTGTTCTGTAAACTCAAGGAGATTCCTGAACTACACAGAGTTCACTTTCACTCTATGAAATGGTGTTACCCAGAGAACTGCACAACTAAGAAGAAATGTGAATATAGTCCTGATTCACAACTCTGGTATATCCATATCTTGCTTAGAGAACACAGCAAGCACTTTGAGACACAAATCTCTTAGTATCTTCAGTTCAGTCAAAAAGGGGCTGTTTCCACCTGTCATGGCCAGGGATAAAAGTACAAAGGCACATATAAATTATGAATTTACAGCACAATTTGCTGTAAATTTGCCCTTAAGAGGCCTAGCTGCTTCAAGTCTGGTTATAGGTTACAGGTTATATGAGGAGGATGCATGACTCAGCCCTGGTGCAAATGCTTTACATGGAAAATCAGCATGGATGTCCATGCCGCATTATTTCTTGGATCAATTACTGCAATGTACTCTGAATGCTATTCTGAAGTTGCAATTGTTAAATATGAGGCAGCCTAGCCATAGCCATTGTCAGCAATGTATAACACCAGTTTTGTGGACATTCAACTGGCTTCAAAATATAATTAAAAGTGCTGGTTGTAAATTATGAATCCCTTGGCATCTGGGTATTTATAGGACTGACTGATTTAGGTAGAGCCAATCTAATTCATTTAGCCCTGAGGAGCATGTTGATACTTCGTCTCCAATGAGATCAGATGAGGGGGAATTAGACGGCAGGTAATCCTTGGGTTATGATGGCAATTGGGAGTGGCATAAGCAATGTAGGCATAAAGGTTGACACAATATATTTGTGTTGCTTAGTCACAGCAATCCTGGTGATCCCGGTTGTTATCATAACCTCAAGGTGTATGAGTAGTTAAGTATGAAGTGCCAGGAGTCCCAGAAGAGCAGGGAGCCCAATGTGAGTTGATGGAGGCTGTTAGCAGATGGGTGTGCTACATGCAGAAGTGTCTTACTGGAATGACTAGCAATCTTCCCTGCTGGCTTCCACATTGACTTTGCTTGTCACAAATGGTGATCAAGTGATCACAGTTCCCTGCAGCATCATAATTGTTAGCTAGGCACACGTGTTTGGATTGTAATCATGTGATGCTGCCTCGGCTAGATCTTAGAGGACTGGTAATATGGCTATTTTTTTCCATGTTGCAGTAACTTTGAATAATCGCTGAACAAATCGATTATTGTTGATCTTCGAAGACTATTTGTTGTTTATCAGGAGATCTGGATGGCAACTTGCTTCAGTTTTCAGGAAGGTAGTGAAAAGTCTTCTGTAGAGCTTCTGGGAACTTGTCATAGTCACTCTGACACTATTGTGTCCTTGAGGTGGGGTAGGAGGCTGTTTTATGATGTTATAATTTTATGTGGCTATAAATGGCAGAATATTATAAACTCAGCAAAATAAAACTGCTGCAAATAAATAAATACACAAATCACTGCAGACAATACCTGAGCGAGATTTGGCAACACTCAAACTTTTAATACAATGAGAACCTTTCAGTATGAAAGGGAGATAAATTCCTAGTTATTGGATTTGTCATCATTGCACTTTTATTGCTGGAAAGAACACTAGTATTTGTTTTCCTTCCTTGGGTCCCAATATAATTACATTGGCCTTAAGTACTCTGAATAGACAGGTATGGGATTACAGGGTTGTTGGTTCAAACTATAAATATATTGATTATTCTGTAATTGATTGTCAGAGTGGTAAATTTCATCTGAATTTTTGAAATCTCAGGGCATCTTTTCTATTCTTGCCACTAGGTGATCCCCTTTTACACAGGAAAATCCATACTGTTATGTGTGGCTTTGGGGGGGGGGGAGCAAAACTTTCTAAATGAATTTGGATTTTTAAATCCTTGGCATTCTATATAGCCCACACCTTGGTTATTATAATATTAGACATCAGCAGACTCTGATTTTAATATCTCTTAGAAATGGATAAGTTAAATATATGCTGGTACTCTTGATTCAGTGGAAAGTCAAATATTGCTTTATGATCAAAGTTTAAAGTTTTATTTAAAATATAAAAATAGGTTGTATTTTATTTTTACATGTAATATTTTTGTGTTTTTCTCTCTAAAATGATATAATGAAATTTACCTATAATATACTATAGGTAATCTCTATCTTAATTTTTTTTAAATTCATCGGTTATTGTATTCCTAAGGAACAAACAAACTGTTTAAAGAAATAATTGCATGTAAAGAACATATTGTTATTCTGTGCAGAGAAAAGGAGGTGATGTGCAAGCTGAATGTGTCCCTCTTTTTATGCCAATTGACACATGGGTGTTCTTTCTATTTTGGGCATGGTTGGCCCTCTACTTCTGGTTAGGCAAGGGAGAGGGGCAGACTGGAACTCTACTGAACAGAGAGGGAGGGAGGGAGAGAGAGAGGGAGAGGGAGAGAGAGAGAAGGCACCCATAACTCCCAATATTCCTGCTATTAGCAAGATGAACAGTGTTCTATTGTACAGTTGTGCTGAAGGCAGTGGTTTATACTCTTCCCTGCTACCTATAACACTGTGTGCTATCTACTGTTTGTATGTTGACTGTGCCACAGTTTAACCAGGGTTCCCACTTAACTAGAGTCTAGTTTAGAATCTTGTTAAGTGGCGCCTAGAGCAGGGGTGGGTTCTGGCTTCTTATACTGCTGGTTCGCTCAGGGATGCGCTTCGGGTGCATACGCGCATACGCAGTAGTTAAAAAAAAGCTTATGTGCAGAAACAAAAGTTACTACCTATTTGGCTGAACCAGGGCGAACTGATAGGAACCCACCTCTGGTCTAGAGTCTAAAACTAGTTAACTAGTTTTAAAGCCTACTCTGGGATTCTTTATCAGTGAAAAGCAAGTTAAACATTTGTAAATAAGTAATTGATTTATTTACCACAGCTGTGATTAATATTGCTGCTGATTTATGACACAGTCACTATTAAAAGAATGAATCATGAAGAGGCCTGGGATTTTGCCAAAAGTTCTTATGATTTAATCATAATATCTCAGTTCCTTTATATGTGCACAGTTAATATTATCCTGGTGTGATGATAGTATGGAGTCACGGTGGAAATGTGGGTAAAAAAAAGTATATAATTGAGTAAAAAAAAAGCAACCTTCAGTTTTACATACAATGGGGTGCCCCAAAGTGCTGCCTTTGTCCCAGTACTCTTCATTATCTTCATCAATGATTTAGCTGAGGGGATAGAGAGGGAACTCATCAAATTTGCAGAGGACACCATGCTGGCAGGAAGATAGGCTCAAGATACAGAAGGGCCTTGTCATGCTTGAACATTGGGAGGTATCTAACAAAATGAAATTCAGTGGTAAGAAAAGAAAGGTCCCACATTTTGGTAAGAAAAAACAAATGCATAGACATAGAATAGGTGGTACCTGGTGAGAGAAATCTTGGAGTCTTAGAGGACAATCCCTTAAATATGAGCCTGCAATATCCTGCATGTGCCAAAAAAGCCAACACAGTCCTAGGCTGCATTAACAGAGGGACTTAATCAAGATCATGTGGTGTTAATACCACTTTGTAATGTGAAGACTACACTTGGAATATTGCATCCAGTTTTGGTTGCCATAATATAAAAAAGACATTGAGACTAAAAGAGTGTAGAAAAGTGCAACAAAGATGATGAGAGACTGGAGACTAAAACATATGAAGAATGGTTGCAGGAACTGTATGTTTAATGAAAAGGAGGACTAGGGGTGAAATGATAACAGTGTTCCAATATTTGAGGGGCTGACACAAAGAAGGGGTCAATCTATTCTCCAAACACCTGAAGGCAGGACAAGAAGCAATGGATGGAAACTAATCAAGCAGAAAAGCAACCTAAAACTAAGGAGAAATTTTCTGACAGAACAATTTGCCTCCGAAGTTGTGAATGCTTCAACACTGGAAAATCAATTGTCTGAAATAGTAGACGGTCTCCTGTTCTGAGCAAGGGGTTGGACTAGAAGAACTCCAAGGTCCCTTCCAACTCTTATTCTGTTATTCATGGTTTCTTTAATCATGCTTTGCTAAATAATTCAAAGTTGGCTTACATGATTGGGTTGTATGAACTAGCCAATTATAAGTTATTCAAACAATTATGCTTAAACAAAACAAAGCCTTCACAATATACGAACCCTAGGAAAATGAAAATTTGAAACACACACATGTTCTTACTTAGTGACCACCGTTGGGGGCAGCAATTCCATTGGGAAGCACCATGGTCATTCAGTTGAAAATCATGTGAAGGTGAAGAACTAAAAATGTTGCTTCCCATTCAATCATTAAGCGAGTCACTGCAGTTGTGAAGCAAAACATCATGTGACATGATTTAACGATTTTACTTCTGTGTTCTTCATTAGCTCTGCTTGTTGCAAGCAGGCTGGGAAATATGCAAATGTCAATCACACAAGTGCAAGATGCTGCAACTGTCGTAAATGCGAGGATTGGTCTTAAAGTTGGTGTTTTTTACATTAGTGTAGCTTCAAACGGTTGCTACACAAGGCTGACAATAAGTAAGGACAATTTGTATACAGCATGCCCTCTCAAAATCAGTGTCTCATTTTAGAGCAGTGTATTTAAATTTGGCAACTTTGGGAGCTGAAGTCTATTCATCCTATGTTTGCCAAGTTTGGAAAACACATCTTTAGATTCAAGATAAAGCCCCATTATGTAAGTGGTGGTCTACTGTATTTCTGTTTTATTTTTGCTCCTCCAACAATTGGACTGAATCAAAGATCTAGAGTTGGGTTCACTGGAGGTCTATTACTTGAGGAGGGAGAAAGTGAACCATAG